ACATGTCCGATTGCGAGAGAAAAGAGACCCCATACAGGCACCTAATTTGAGGGTTCGGACTCAGTTGACTCGGCAAATTTCACTCTGAGATGTGCACAAATAATCACTAAAGTTCAATGGAAATTTCAAGTTGATCCTTAATATTATTTTATAAACTACATTATTCACAAAATTAACAAACGCTGCACATTTGATTACTCTATTAATTAATGAGATTAAAAATAAGCGAGAAAACTTCCAAATGACCTTTTGTGTAATCTTTTGTCTTTTTATTGATTTTGAATTGTAAAATATACGTGTCGTTATGTAATTTCACAACATTAACTTGATGCTGGTTTAAGATGGGACCCCTGTTTGGTTTAATTGCAATCGAAATTAACAATTAATTTTAACAACATATCTTATGGAATTCACAACTTTTCAATTATATATTTCATCAACTTTTATCAAAATTTACTAAAAATCTGATTTTAATCCCCATCAAACAAGGACAAGATGTTAATCTAGCAAACAGATCTACCAAATTAGAAGTATTTGTTAACTTGAGTGACTAGTTGTCAAACAGCCATGCAATAGCCACATCTACTTGGACACGGCATCCCCAGCAACTCCACCACGTTTCATGCATGAACGCCTCCTTGCGCCACCTTGCACTCATCCCTTTTAAGGTATTCGAACAAATCTACACCCAGACACCTATATATATATATATAGACACACACACTAAGTTTATTATAATTCCGATCAATTTGATATATCCTTTGTGTACTTCCATAACTTTCTTGTTCTCTGGGCGAAATTCTTGATGGAAATGGCTTTGAGCGACTTGGGTTTTGATGCTCCGATGTTGGTAGCACTCCATGATATGCTGGACTTTGTCGACGATGCAGAGAAGCCGCACCACCCGTCGCGGGCTTATATTCGGGACACAAAGGCCATGAAAGCTACACCAGCAGACATCGTAGAATACCCCAATGCTTTCCATTTTGTGGTGGATATGCCAGGGCTGAAACCTGACCAAATCAAGGTACAGTTGGAGGACGGCAATGTCCTGGTGGTGAGTGGCGAGAGGAGGAGAGAGAGAGAGAAAGAGAAGGAGGAGAAAGAAGGGGTGAAGTTTGTGAGAATGGAGAGGAGGTTTGGGAAATTGTTGAAGAAGTTTGTGTTGCCGGAGAATACGAATCTGGATAAGATTTGTGCTGTTTGTCAAGATGGGGTGCTGATGGTGATCGTGGAGAAGAAACCGCCACCGGAGCCCAAGAAACCGAAGGTGATTGAAGTGAAAGGGGCGGAGCATGGTGAAGGAGGAGAAGGGAGTCATGAAGTTAAAACTTCGCGTGGAACCGATGAGGGTGATGCGGTCAAACAAGCGTAAAATGAAAATGCATCAGGGTTTGGGTTTTGTCAACTGCTTCACCTGGTTAAAAGTTGTACAAACAGCTTTATTGAAGTTGAATTGTCTATGTTACTCCGTGCTTATATATTTGTGTTTTTTTATACTATGTAACTATGTTTGTGGTTCTTGCGTGAGCAAATAGCGTCTCTTTTACAAAATAAGCATGTTCATCATGGAAGCTGCTGCTTTTGTGAAATGCTTTGTTTGGTCTTCAGTTGGATCAGTTGAATATGTTTCTTGTGATATATAATAATGTTATATTACAAATAGCATCTCTATTTACAATATTTTGGATGAAGAAAAAGAAACCTTTTGGATCATAGTAATTATATAAATAAACTTGACATGATCAAGTAGTTCCGGCAGGTTTCATTTCAGGGGGAGGAGAAGCCTAAGAAGCTGGGACTCATTAGGTTAATGTGCCGGAAGAGATTCCGCAGGCTAAGTCGAACACACTAACAATTTCAGCTGAAGAGGCTTAGAGTCGGTCGACCCCTGGCACGCGAGAGGCGGAAAGGCTCAACCGAGTGTGTAGTCAGCCACATTAGCTCCTTCAGTGGAAGAAGCAAGAGTCAGGTTTCAAATCAACCACGGACTGGAGGAAGAAGCAAGAGATGCGCTTAGCCACATTAGCTCCTTCAGTGGAAGAAGCTTCAAGTCGACCACCGACTGACCGAAGAAGTGCCAAGGTCGTTAAGAGCCAAAACACCATTTTTATCTTGCTCACGAAGAGCCTAATAATCATTTTTATCTTGATGAAGAGTCCAACCATAACGTAGCCCAAGGGTTGTCGAGAAGTTTCCCCACTTGTACTCAATTCTTTTTCTTGCACTTTTGAGGAGTATTGAAGGTATGAGAAATGTTATTTGTACACCAAATTTGACACAATGGTGCGCAAACCCCTCACAAGAGGGGCCCATGACCAACCATGACCAAGAAAAAAAATGGTACGCTCCCCTCTTGCGAGTGCTCCATACATTGAGATGTCGAATAAGGTAAGGTGTATACTTTAACAAGGCTCTAAAGATATACATTTAATACATTTTGAATACGTGGAATTATTTACAGAAAAGTGTTGTGTTGGCAGCACCTACATTTTTTGTTATTGTTATTTCAAAATAGAGGAAATTAGACTGGACGTCATTTTGTTACCATGTAATTATCAAAATGTCACATTTTTAAAGTAGTTGCAAGATTGTCAATTTTGGACACTTTTACCCTTGTAGATAAATTAAATACCTAACATGCCTTCAATAAATGAGATTTGACTAGACTAGACATTTGTACAAAAAATGTGTAAGTTGTCATAATTTTTTGGAGATTTAAAAAAACAAAAACAAGAAACTTAGAACCCTAAACTCACTCCACTGCCCAGCAAACTTCACCATCTCCATGGTTCCCTCCCCTAAAAATATTTTCCATCTCAAAATTCTCTGTTTCTCCATACAATTCGAAATTTTTTGTTTTGAGGTTTTTAGTTTTGTAAATATGGCGACTGAAGAACACCAGACTAATGATTCACTCCCTCCAAAATCATGCTCAGATGCTCCACTAGACAGCTCGTTTTCATCTTCTTCTACCTCCATTGGAACAAGTAGGGTGCCAGAGGTCGGGGAAAACCACTGAAAGTGAAGCAAGTCGTGGCTGCTCCAGTAGGGGCTTGATTGTAACAAAACAAGTAGTTCAAGACTTCAATGCTAATTGTTGTTTCTATTTATAATTTAATTTTTAGTCCTTGTCGTTTGTGTTAATTTTAATTTAGGTTGTGATTGAGATTGTGTGACTTTAATAATGGTGTAACTTATTGTAAATTTATTAGCGAATATTGCAACTCTTGAAATAATTGTTTTCTTTTGTTATGGATGAATTTGGTAGATGGTAGAGATTTTTACCAAATAGGAGGCACCAGCATGTTGTCTTCGTATGTGTCACAAATATGTAGTATGTGCCAATTGTCGAGAACGACATAGACAATATGTCGAGAACAACAGATGAAATGTCGGGATGTTATGCAATGTTTTGTATGTGGAACCGTATTTGCCTTTTTAATTTTTAGTTAGCCATTGTTGGGGATGTAGTTGGTAACGATTTTTACCGAATAGGAGGCAAAAGTATGTCCTTTATGCATTGTATGTGTACTTGCAGTTTGCAGTCTGTGCCAACTGTCGAGAACGACAGAGACAATCTGTCCGGAACGACAGATGAAATGTTAGGATGTTATGAAATGTTTTGTATTTGGATCAGTATTTTGCATATTTTTTTTTCACGGATGTATTTAATAACGGCCTTTAGCGAACGGGAGGCAAAAGCATGTCCCTTATGCATCG